TTCATCATTTTATAATCCTCCTCTATCTTTTGATCTAGTGGGTGATAAACTCCCAGTGTTAAGTTTCCTTTTGGTCCCCCTATTTCAACCCATAGAATTTCCAGAAGCGAATAAAAATTCTCTTAGCCTCTCAGTCTTTCTAGACTTTATACCCCCTCTGACATACAGAGCCACCCCACCTCCAACCCTTCCCCCCCCATCCTTCTGATGTAATATATAAATGAGAATCACTGTATCCCACTGATTTTCCTCATCCGACCAAGTTTCTGAAATACCCACAATGTCTATTTTCCCTCCAACACCAAGCACTCCAACTCCCCGATTTTACCTCAGACACTTCTAGCATTTGTATAGAAACAGCTATAATTTCCCATACAAGTTAAGCCTGCAACCTTCCTCTTGCTATCTCGAGACCTTGTCAGGCAGTCCATGTCACTAGCCATGGTCTCAGTGGACAATTTCAATCCACCTCCCTGTAGAAAAGCAACAGGTACCCCCTCATCTCTCTGAGATGAGCCAACCCGAACCAGAGACTTTTCATCTCCTGTCGGCTTTCCCCCAATATTCAGTTTAAAAACTGCTCTGCCACCCTTTTTGATTTCAAGCACCAGCAGCCTGGTTCCTTCTCGGGACAAGTGGAGACCGTCTCGCCTGTACAGCTCCCTCTTGTTCCAAAAAGCATCCCAGTGCCTAACAAACTTGAAACCTTCCCCCCTACACCATCGTCCCATCCACGCATTGAGACTCCTGATCTGTGCCTGTCTCTCCAGCCCTGCGCGTGGAACAGGTAGCACTTTTGAGAAAGCTACCTTGGAGGTCCTGGACCTAAGTTTCTCCTCCAGGACCTAACAACTGCATTTCCCCACATCGTTGGTGCCAACATGCACCACGACCACTGGCTCCTCCCCAGCACTATCTACCAGCCTATCTAAAACATGCGTAATGTCCACTACCTTCGCACCAAGCAGGCAAGTCACCATATGGTCAGTACGCAGGTTCGCCACCCAGCTGTCTACCTGCCTAAGAACTGAATCACCAACTAAACTCCTTTCCCTTCCCCTCCCCACAACAGACACCCTGTGAGGTAGGTGGGGCTAAAAGAGCTCTTTCAAGAACTGCCCTTTCAAGGACACCTCTTGTCAGAACTATGGCTTGCCAAAGGTAATCCAGCAGCCGCAAGTGGAGGAGCAGGGAATCAAACCTGGTTCTCACAGATTAGAGAACCGCTACATCAAACAGTCTTTATTAGTGTACAGCATCATATTGGCACAGATTATTAGTGTACAGCATCATACTGGCATGAATTCCATAGTTTCTTGGTTGAATCTCATTGAACCGTGAACCTTTCTGTGTTTGATATCCCAGAATGGCTTGGATGGCTGTCTCCAGGGGAAGGGCCTTTTCAGTTGTGGCCCTGTGGAATGCACTCTTGGATGACATCTGTGCCCTGCTGGACTTGTTTAGTTTCTGCAGGGCATGTAAAACTGATTTATGTTGGCCTTTGGAGGGTAACCATGTGTTTGGGCTGTTTTGATAGTGGTATAGTGACAGTCATGTATTTTAAAATTTTAATGTTAATATTTTATATTTGTTATTTGTTTTCATGTTGTTTTTACCTTATTGATTTTAATGTAAATTGCCATGAGACCCTTCAAGTGAGTGGTGTCTAAAAATCTAATAAATAATAATAAATAATTTTTATTTAGAACAAAGAAAGACCAGGGAAAAGAGAAGCATCTTGCTTGCTTTCATCAGCATCTTACTATATGAATTTCATTTGTTCTGTCCTTTTCAGTACATTAGCAGCTATCCACTATTATCTTCACTCCCACTACCTAATCTTTGTGACTGCTTTTAGATGAAGCCACTTTAGAAAAACGATTAAATACCACCAGCTCCCCCATTCAACCTGTATACATCCTGAAACAGAAGATGGGAGAAAGAATCCTGCCTGACATACTACACTACCAATCTGTGTGCCTTTATACAACATTCCAAGTTGAGACAGACTCATTGGGTCCTAAATATTTAGAATAAAGTATTCTGCCTTTTACATTTCATTTAAGACTATGAATAAATGGAGCTTTTTAATGCTAGACCACTGGACCCTCAAGGTCATTATTGTCTGCTTTGACTGAATCAACAAAGATGGGTTTTTCTTGCCACAATCTACTACTTGAAATGCTAGGAACAGAACTGCATCTTAGTGCCATGGGCCCCTCTTACTATAGGTCAAAACTTCTCTCTCTCTCTGTGTCAGTAAAAATAATGTTATTGTATGAGGAAAAGTGAAGAAAGGGCAGCTGCATCCCCAAATGCAACACATAACCTGTGGCGGAAAGATGGCATAGAGCAGGAAAGGACATAAAGTAGATGAGTCTGATTGGTTTTACAGAAAGCAGATATTTTCTATGAATAGCAACTGGTTTCCAAAGATAATAAGCAAAAACAAGGAAGCTCTTCTTTAGCTGGAGGCATTTAAGGATGGGAATAACAATAGTCACATATTGGAGTACAGTCTGAATTCTGCTCTGACTTTGACAGTTTCTACTATAACCCTAATGTAGAACCTCAGAATTGAATGGAGAGAGAGTACTGAGGAGACAAATTTCTTCCACCATAAAACTTTGAATTTCTTCCTTGTGCAGCCACCCTTCTCCCCCACTTCACCTGGGCCACTGCACAACTAAAGAGGGAGCATCTGGTAAACTTACATACCAGCTTACTGGTTCTGTTTCATGCACTGAGTATAAATAATAACCCATTATTTGGGATGAGGAAATATTTTCTTCCTCAGTTAGATATAGATTGGCTCTCCTGCTTGAACTAACTGGAGCTATCTGCTCTGCCTGAACTTGCATGATGCATCTTGTTTCCTTTTGCTCTCAGCAGATAGTGGTATAGATTCTGTGGAGGCTGACTTGTGAATACTTCCATCGTGCAATAAGACAGACCTAAGTGGATCACCTTCTATTCCTTCAGTCCCAGAGACTTAAACTGGTTTCTGTACTGTTTGATGCCCTGACCTGGATAGCCCAGGCTATCTAGTTTCTCGTTTAATATACAGGCTATCTTACTTGACACATTAGACCATGTTACATAAACACCAAGGCAAAAGTTATTATCCACTGCTAGAGTACTTACATCCTGTAGGAGTTTTTCAAGGTTTTCCTGCAACTCATAAAAGTACCGAGAAGTAATAAGTCCTTCACGTGATTTATCTAGACAGTCTCTGGCCAACTCAATAACTTGATGATGAATAAAACTTAGGACCCCATCTGCTAGTTGCAGCACGTTCTCTGGTGTATTAGATGCAATAAACTCAGCCAGCCGTTCCTCCATCTGGGCTGTGGCCTAAAGAGTGTTAAAACAATGGTTACTGGCATTTTGCTATCAAGACATACACATATAAACTTAAACTAACAGCCTTTGTTCTTCATCACCAAAACACCTGATTGTATGAAAGAAGCGTTATGAAATTGAGCTATACTAGAACTTGGAGATGAAGAAGTAAACTGCCTTAGAATATACAGAAATAAATTTAATCTTACTTAGAATATGCTAGGTATAATAACCACAAAATGAAATTCTCTGCCTAAGGACCCAACTGCACCTTATGTGGGGAGATTTATAAATGAATCTCCTGATCGTAAAATGTATATTTTAAGCAGCTTTGTTCTGAGTTTGATTAGTGCAGTGGAGCTTTCCTGTTCACCATTCTTACAGTCTAAATCTTGGCCGGATGTTAAGGATTTTTACATGTATCATGAAAGTTACACTGTCATGCAGGGCCTGTTATTCTTATAATGGCCTTTAAAGTGTCAGCCTATGCTGGCTTGATGTTCCATAACACACACACACCCCAAAAAAACCCTTGTTATTTGACATGCTGATCGCGATATGTGTAGAGGGTTTCTTTTTCTCCCTAGAAGGAATGCAAGATAAACTCTGAAAGGAGTGGATTATGTTTAAGGACAGAATTGGTGAGCTTTTGGAATTCTAGACCCTGATCCTTTTATCCTATAAAAGAACTCTGAATCTTGTTCAGTATGCCAGCTTGATTTTTCTTGTTTGCATCAGGATGATCATCTTATTAAAATTACATGCTCTGGTAGCCTAAAGCCTTGAGTGAATCTTTTTCTCTCCCAGACAGAACTCAGGGAAAGGGGTGTATTACATCATAGGGGGGTTATATTAGGATTTTGAAAACTCCCCTAACACTGGAATAATAAAAGCTTTGATGGGAAGGGATTTTGATTGGGAAAAAACACATGGGGAAAAGCCTCAAACACCACTGTTCTAATCAAATTAACAGCCCCTTATCTCTGCTTTAAACTTTTTAACATCAGGAAATCCAGTCTCCTTCATATGGTGTAGCTTGGCTGTTAGATACAGAATTTTATCCTGTGTTTTTTACACACAGAATATTTTTGTTAAATTTAAATCATTTTCGGTGAATTCTAAATGAAACTGGCACCACTGAGTCAATCAAATTTGACCCCCCCCCCATCTGCTTTAAAGCATAAAATGCGGAGATATTCCCAGTGCAATCCTAAACAGAGTTATACCCAGGGCTAAGGAATGCACAGGAACGGAGTTCCGGCTGGCTCCCAAGTTGGCCACGCCCAGCAGGAACTCATTAACATAATAGGCCACACCCAACAGCAGAAACTCATTATGATTGGCTACAATTAGGGGGTGTGGCCTAACATGCAAAGGCTGGTTTGGAGGGTGTAGTCTATGGCATTCTACCTGTCTGAGGTCCCACCCCTCTGCAAACCCCACCCTCTCCAGGCTCCACCCCTCAAATCCCCAGGAATTTGTCAGCATGTAGTTGGCAACCCCATCTCCTTCCCAGCTAACCATCAACCTACCATTATCTGCCCCTTTGACTTCAGCTGACTTCTGCCCTCCCTTCTGCAGAGCAGTTGTAATTCTGAGTGCTCTCCAGCCCTCACCTGGAGATTGGCAACAATGGTTCCCTATGTGGGACTGACTGGTTTGGAGGGTGAAGTCTATGGCATGTGGAATGCAGTGAAGTCCAATCAGCTTCCATATGCAAAAGACCTTGAAGGTTCCATATGCAACTGACATTCCAACTGCCTTGCGGGGAGGGGGGTGAGTTTGAGGTGTGGAATGCAGTGAAGTCCAATCAGCTTCCATATGCAAAAGACCTTGAAGGTTCCATATGCAACTGACATTCCAACTGCCTTGCGGGGAGGGGGGTGAGTTTGAGGTGTGGAATGCAGTGAAGTCCAATCAGCTTCCATATGCAAAAGACCTTGAAGGTTCCATATGCAACTGACATTCCAACTGCCTTGCGGGGAGGGGGGTGAGTTTGAGGTGTGGAATGCAGTGAAGTCCAATCAGCTTCCATATGCAAAAGACCTTGAAGGTTCCATATGCAACTGACATTCCAACTGCCTTGCGGGGAGGGGGGTGAGTTTGAGGTGTGGAATGCAGTGAAGTCCAATCAGCTTCCATATGCAAAAGACCTTGAAGGTTCCATATGCAACTGACATTCCAACTGCCTTGCGGGGAGGGGGGTGAGTTTGAGGTGTGGAATGCAGTGAAGTCCAATCAGCTTCCATATGCAAAAGACCTTGAAACGCTGGGCGGGACTGCACAAAGCAGCCAGTCAACCCAGCCAGCGTCTTCTGACTGACAGTTCAAGCGTCCATACACTAAAGGAGTGCATTTTAGAACTTTGGCACCCACTACTCAATTATATATAAGGAGAGATGACTATAAGGAACGCTGAGCACTGAAGAATAGATTCTTTTGAATTATGGTGCTGGAGAAGACTCTTGATAGTCTCTTGGACTGCAAGGAGCTCAAATCAGTCAATCCTAAAAGAAATCAACCCTAACTGTTCCCTAGAAGGCCAGATAATGAAGCTAAAGCTCAAATACTTTGACCACCAAATGAGAAGGGAGCATTCACTGGAGAAGACCCTGATGCTGGGAAAGATTGATGGTAAAATAAGAAGGGGACTGCAAAAGATGAGATGGTTAGACAGTGTTACCGACGCAACAGACATGAAATTGAGCAAACTCCAGAGGATGGCAGAAGACAGGAGGGCCTGATGTGGTCCATGGGGTCATGAAGAGTCCGACTGAACAACAACTACGTTCAATCATTTTACTGTAGTTCGTGTAATTAAAGAAGAAGAAGAGATTGGATTTATACCCCGCCCTTCACTTGGAGTCTCAGAGTGGCTTACAAACTCCTTTCCCTTCCACTCCCCACAACAGACACCCTGTGAGGTGGGTGGGGCTGAGAGAACTCTGACACAAACTGCTCTTTTTCAAGGACAGCTGTGCCAGAGCTTGTGACTGACCCAAGGTCACATCAGCAGGTGCAAGCGGAGGAGTGGGGAATCAAACCCGGTTCTCCCAGATTAGAGTCCACGCACTTAGCCACTACACCAAGCAATATTTCATGTAATGTTTGAACTAAGCCACAGAGTATTTGGATTACAGATAATAGATTGAAAATACTTGTTCTTACCTTTGGAAATCTTTCTTTGTATACATGGTTCATCATTACTATTTCACTATCAAAGGACACAGGAGAACGGCCTGGACTGGAATAAAGTTCAAAAAATTAAAATCTAGTGCAAATAACAGCAAGAGTGATGTATAATCACTTTCATATGTGTATAAATGCCTAAGTGGTTATAGCATATCTTACATGCTCCCAGGTTTATCTTTTTTTTTCTTTTCAGTGTCTCTGTAGGTCCCAATAGTATACATTGTTATTAGCAAATTTATCTCTCTCAGTCATGTGTATGTAAACAGGTGTATGACATGTGGTTGCATGCAGATTCATGCTATGACACATGAGCTTCACTGGAAACAGCTAGGGAAAATTTGGACACTAACTGAGTTTCAGTTAAGATAATAAGACTTATCAGGGAAAACTGAACAGGACTGACATTTGCTTAATTTTACTGAACTGTCAGTGTTTACCAGATGTCAAATGGTTAGGTGCCAGAATATATGGAACATAAAATAATTTAAGTTGAGCTGCCTTGGGCATGGTGCCTGATGGAATGAACTCTGTGTCCTTACTCCTCAGATGCTGTATAACCTGCTATTGAGACCTGATGAAGCTGGAATTGGAAAGCAGTTGGGGCTTTGCAAGATATATCAGAAACCGGCAATAAGGATTCCATTTACACCTGCTGGAAAGAACTTGGCAAGACTGTCCCTGCAAGCTGCCTTGGGTATTTTGCAGAAAGACCAAATTATCTGCTTTCTAAATAATAAAAAAAATCTTGTTTCTATGTGTGTGTTTCTGTGTGAGTACAAACTGAAGGCAATTAATCAGAACAAGCTGTGTGTGTCCATGCTCTTTTTTCCTTAGCTTGGAGTGTACCATATATAATGGTCAACTTGTCATCTGAATATATCCCTACAAGATTAAATGCCATTCTTATTTGTGATGACTTCACAAAAAGACTTCATCTATAAAACAAAAATGCAAAGATGAAGCACCAACACAACTTATACATTTTTCTTGAAGGGTAAAATGTTACATTGGGCAGGGGGGGAGTTCACACTTACTAGTCTCACTAGCTAGGCACTTGATATATGAAGGATTATTACCCTGCATTAGATACACAAGTAATTTAAAGCAACCAATGTTCACACTATATTTATACTATGCATTAAAAATTCAAAGGTCTTTGTGTTAAATAATTTCAAGCTGTGCATAGAACTTTCACAGGAAATATTTTGAATGGACTTATATTTGTCTGTTACCTATACCTCATAGCCTGTTTCCAGACAGTTACCAAATGACAGTCACAGAGGCAGTGTGTCAATTATGCAATTTTATTTAAGCAAACAAAACAACATGAACCATACAGAAGAAAACACTAGTTATCCACAATAGCAATAAAATTGCTACTGAAAATAAAATACCTCAAATTAAATATCTAATTGATTAAGGCAACACAGATCTAGGATAACCCATAACTAGTTTTAGGCTGAGAAATTATGGAAGCAATTACATAGACAATTTGGCCAACCAACCAAAAGCTAGCTATGACAAGACTGGTTATTTTATAGTTTTAAGATATTTATCCAGCCTGTAAGGAGTTTCCTTAAAAAATGAAATAACAGAATAACAGAATGAAGATTTGGGAGAGGAAAGGTACAAAAACAAGATACAAAAAGCAAGAGGTAAAACTTTATTTTCCTGATTCAGTTGATGTGTGTGCAATTTCCCCCCAGTTCTTTCTGGGGGTCTCTCTCTCTCTCTCTCTCTCTCTCTCTCTCTCTCTCTCTGGAATGTAAGCATTAGGTGGAAGTTATTTTAGAAGAGCGTATCACAAGAGGACTTTGTAAACCAGGGGTCCCCAGCACTTTTGAGCTTGCAGGCTCCTTTAGAATTCTGCCATAGGACAGCAGGCATAACCGCAACTGGCTATCACAGGAGGACGAGCCAATCACAAGATTGGAGCACTGAATATATTTTTCTATGAGTATAATTGGTTTTAATATTTTAATATTTGTACTGTTTTATGGTATGATTTGGCAATATGCCCTGTAAGCCGCCCTGAGCCTACGGGGAGGGCGGGATAAAAATACAAATAATAAATAAATATATAATAAATAATAAGATGCCAGATAGTGAGTTACTGTATAATTCTAATAGTAACTTAGTTGGTCTTAAAGGTGCCACTGGACTCCACCAGATGGAGCGCTTCCACCAGGCTTTCAATTAGGAGCCGCCGCCACTTCCACCACCACCACTACCACCGCCACCTCTACCAACTATTAACATCTATGGTGGTGGTCTGGCCTGTATGAAGATCAAGCCACTGCACAGGGGAAGGCCGAACACCGCTGGTTTGGCCTGTTAATGCTCCATCTTATAGCATGCCATCTGGAATGTAGTGAAGGATCGATCTATGCTACTAGCACTTTAAACTGATTAACTGTGAATTTGTTATTGTTATTGTTAGTGAATGATTATTTTAAATTGTTTTAAATGTTTTATATGGATTTGGCACATGGTGCCATTACTGTGAGCCGCCCTGAGCCCATTCTCAGGGAGGGCAGGATACAAATATAATAAATAAATAAATAAAATAAACTTTGTTTAATAGCAACTATTCAGCATTTCAGGCAGAAACTCTGTTTAACAGGATACCTTTTAAAATGAATATATTGTTTTAAAACATTTTTTGCACACACAGACCTTACCTTCAGCCACCTTGTGATGCGGGAGACAGCTGCTACCAAAGCATTTTTTTAAACCAATCAGATCTCCGATGGCCAATCAGAAGTGCCCCTCTTTCCAAAAACACTTGGCAGGGCCAACAAAGGTGTCAGCAGGCACCATAGTGCCCATGGGCACTATCCGGGGAACTCCTGTTGTAGACTGTTCAGCCTTTTCTGCACTAAAATTCCTTTCTAAGTAACTGACATAGCAGCTTTCTGCCCACTGTGTTACATGACGGAGCAGCATTTTCAACACACTACAAATTCTCCTCTCTTCCCCAATTCCTTCAGCAGCTGGTGCTACTATTCTGCCTTGTTCACTTGGGAGCCAGTGGATTAATACTGTCTTTGCTAGTTTCTGAGCAGTTTGCCTCAGGACCTCCCCCATACATGCACACACACACACAGAGTGCACACTCTGTACTGCTTTCAAGTGAAGTACCTTATCCTCACTTTTAAACTAAATGGGTGAGGAGAAGACCCGGATGCATGTAAGAGGACAGTGAGACTGCTCTCTGCCAGACAACTATGCAGTCACTGAACAACACACAGCCTCTTGACTCTGGGTCATGCTTGGCTTGAGGCAAGGCAGACAACTCTGAAACTAGCACAGACACAGTGAACAGAATGAATATGCAAAGTGGGCAGGGGATAAAATGATGCACATCATACACACCTCCTTCAGTCCTTTCCATCACACTAACTTAACCATACCAATGAGATGGAACACGAAAACTCACTTTTATTTATTTATGACTAATTTTAGCCCCATGTTTGAGGCGATGGGAAGATTACTGTAACTGGCTCTTTATTTGGCATAGTCAGAGGCTGGCAGAGAACTGCCCAACCTGTCCTTCAAATGAAGGGAACTTTCTTTTCTATACTGTCTTGTGTCGTCGTCCCCCATCTCAAGGACCATTTCTGGACCGAAAGAGAATATGATTGCGTGTCCACCACTGAAAGCTCTCGTTTGAAATGTTTTTATTAAATTATGTGCGACACCAGCCAAGAAAGTTCAAAAAGTATTTTGAAAACTGAGTGTAAGACAATTGCTAGAAAGCAAACTCTCAGAATCTCATGGTATATGCATTTATCTTGGATCACAACTTTTAGCTGTGAATCAACCAGTATCATTCCATACTCATTAACATGGGTCCGGGCCAGCATAGCTAGATAAAGCAAACATCAGGTTTGAATTCAGGGGTTGGGTGGGGATTAGGTATGCTGACAAAACCCTAATTATTTGAATTGAAATGAAGATTTGCTGAGATCATAACGCTTGCATTATTACAAGATTATCATAATTTCTGTAAATTCTGAATTAAAGATTCTATTAGGGAAGAGTTGTATAGCTCTGCTTTACTCACTTCACACAATGCTACTTCAGTTATTGTGCTGCAGCAGTTAATCATAAAAATGGGACTGAGCAATTTTCTTGTGAGTATATGAAAATAAGCAAGTAATGGGGATCTTGCATGCAAAATGTGAAGTGCAAACAGTACAAAATTCACCTGAGGCTGCGAGATCGGGGACGCATGGCTGGAGAATGCCGTCCTTCTTCATCAGTGACGCTCTCTGTGCTGAAATGCTTTGTCAGGAAATGAAGTTCATCTGCTGTTGGCTGAAAGGGCAATTGGTGCAGCTTCTCCTGAGATGAGCAGGATGACTAAAAACAAAACATACACAAAACAAGTTCAAACGTGAAGTACATGGTTCATAAGTCAATGCATAACTTTTTAAACTTCATGATGAAAGAAAAAGTGTTTCTAACTTTTCTTGATTAATTCCTCTACTGAAAGAAACAGATTTGATATGTAAGACAAGAAACTCTGGAGACAAAAAGCCTTTAACCATTTTATAGGCACTCTGCTCATGCCATATCTGAGCCATGAGCCACTAGACAGATATTCCGGCTTTAAAAGATTGAATGGAACAACATCTCTATGCTTGAATGGAACACGAAGGCTTCTCATTATGATCTAGGGCTATATATGGAATGTGGGGAAGTGTGCACATGGGAGGAGTTTGTTCTAAATTAACACACTCTGCTGTGAAGTGGTCAACTTTGTCATACAATGGAACAAAACAAAATAAGTTTTATGTCCCCAGATTTCTCCAATATGTACAGTTCTAAGTAGTATAAGTAGTGGTATGTTACAGAATCATAACATTTTAGGAAGAGTTAATAGTACTATGTTAATGTACTGGAATGACATAGTTATTTATTTATTTATTTATTTATTTATTTATTTATTTATTTAATTCAATTTATACCCCGCCCTCCCCGCAATGCGGGCTCAGGGCTGCTTACATAGGGGCAAACGCCAATATAAAACATAATTAAAACCATTTAAAATCCAACAGTACAAAACATTCATAACGAGTTATACTTTTTGGTGAGTGTGAGTGTGTGTGTGTGTAGGTTTCTTAGATATTTTTAAGAACCAAAATGTAAATATTTTAAAAATGGGGACTACATACAACAACTGCATTTAGATGTCAAACAAACAGTAGCATGCTTATGACAAGCTACAATACTCAGTATCATGCTATTCCTTCTCTAACATTCAGCTCTGAAATGGCACACCAGTAAGTCTTCAATAAACCATAATGTGTTCTGAAATGGCACACCAATACGTCTTCAATAAACTATAATGTGTTCAAACTTTGCACTTGAAAAATTGGTTTGTTTCCTGCTTAGTCAATAGGTTTCTAAACCACAGTTAACCACAGCCTGTGAAGTGCTTGATTTGGATATCAGAACATATTGAAGTTTTCAGAATACTTACTGATTTCCAATTCTGATGAAGTATGCAACAAAGGGAAGAAACAGGGAGCACATAAACCCAAAGGGTTTGGATCATGCTTATCAAAAGTGAAGCTTCTTTATAATGTCTGAATTCAGCCAGTGATTCTGTTATGATTTAGAAACTGTTTCAAAATGATACTGTGAGACAGACATCACAGTCTCACATCAGACCAATGACATAAAAACAAAGTATAGTGATGGAAGTATGGAAAAGAAGGAAGTTTTGTTGCTGCTGTTTGCATCAGTGGCATCATTGTCATTAGGGGAAAATCTATTAAGTATACCTGCAAATACTATGAGAAAATTACTCTAATTTACAATTTGTTTATTAACCCATCATAGACAATACCACCTAATATCAAATCAAACAATACTTTTCAGTAAGGACAGATCACAAATTAAGCAACATTCTTGAATGGGTGAACAAGCTTTAACAGATAAATAAAAATACACTTGGCTTTTTAAAAAATTAACATTCTAAACAAATAATAAAAAATGAATGCCTTTGGCTACGAAGATCTTCCAGTATATATAATTCTATTTTGGTCATGGACTCCCCTGAACATTTCAACATGCTCCAAAATCAGTTCGCTCTCTGATCTGTCATTCAGAGGGTCTCCCTATCCACTGGCTGCTTTGCCTGAGTCCTGCCTCCAACATTCTAAACCGTTTGCTCTTCCTCTCCCCCCCACAGCCAGTCATAACACAGAGGTCATTTGCATATGTGGCCTGATTCGCCTTTGCCTCGAAACACAGAACTCATTTACATATGCGGCCTCACTGGCCTTTCCCTCTAACATTCTAAACAGTTTGCTGTTGATGTTCTGAGGTAAAATAATTTTCCCCTTAGTGTCTATTGGGGGAAACAATGGTTGCAAATCTCCAGGTGAGGGCTGAAGATCACTCAGAATTACAACTGATTTCCAGATGGCAGAGATCAGTTCCCCTGGAGAAAATGGTGGACTCTGTGTCCTTATATCCTGCTGAGATGGCCCCTGTATGACAGACAATGTGACGTAGCAGTCAGGGCTTCAGCTATTAAAACTGATGTCCAGATGACCCAGATCATTTCTCTTGGAGACAATGGCTGCTTTGGGCAGTAGATTCTATGGCATTATACCCTGCTGAGGTCCCTCCCCACCCAAAATCCTGCCCTCCCCAGGCTCTACCCCTCAAATCTACAGGTATTTCTCAACCCAGAGTTGGCAACCATGTAATTGGCTATGGAACCACTTTCCAGACCCTTGGAACCCAGAAAATGTGGCACTGGAGGAGGTGCTTTTCTACCTTAGCTGTGACTGCATAGCACCAAATTAACATAAGCCAACCTCCAGGTGGCACCTGGAGATCTCCAGCTATTAAAACTGATGTCCAGATTATCAAGATCAGTTCTCCTGGAGACAATGGCTGCTTTGGGCAGTGGATTCTATGGCATTATACCCTACTGAGGTCCCTCCCCTTCCCAAATCCTGCCCTCCCCAGGCTCTACCTCTCAAATCTACAGCTATTTCCCAACCCAGAGTTGGCAACCGTGTAATCAGCTATGGAACTACTTTCCAGACCCTTGGAACCCAGAAAACATGGCACAGGAGGAGGTGCTTTTCTACCTTAGCTGCCACTGCCTAACACCCCCCTCCCCCTCAAAAAATAAGTCAGAGGTGGAGAGAACCATATCTGTTACCATGAGGCTGTCCTCCCATTCAACCCACTTGGGGCAGCAAAATGACTTGAAACAGCCCTGCCTTATAGCTAAGCAGAAGGAAAGAAACATGGCTTGCCTCCCTCCATTTTCCACTTCCCTCTGCCGCCCCACCAGCCACAGTAAGGACACTCATCTGGAGCTTCCTTCTAAATCTCATTGTATTTCTTCCCACAACGGGCATTACTCCTAGTAGTTTATATTACAGGAAAATTAACAGCTACAAAAATAATCATTACACTGACAGGTTATATATATGCTAGTGAAAGTAGACAAAAATTAATAATAAAAAGAACACATGAGAGGGACCCACAAAGACCTGTAGAAGGGGAAAACCCAGCCATCAATTGAGAAAAGAGCATGGCAGCTGGCATTCACACTGTTTACCAACAAAGAAAGTAGAGGGGTTCCCACTAGTGGACCAGGCTTCGCGCACCTGATTCAGAGGGACACTCACATAAGTGACAGAACTAAGTTAATTCGATCCAAATTAGAATCTCTGAACATTGGTAGTGCCCCCCCACAGCAAAACGAGGCCCTTAAGCTCATAAAAACCAAATTAAGGGAAGTGGACCTCAGCAGTACATTGTGTAGAGCCCGGCGTACATGCTCGGGTCTAGCCCTTGGCCTTCCACCGCTGTCGGCGATTCCTACTTATTGCTACACTCTCAAAAGTTCAGCACTTCGCAGAGCCTTCACGCTGGCTAGACTGAATACATTTCTGTCGAATGTAGTCTTGGGCCGCTTTCAGGGCATCCCGTTCTCTGAACGGCTGTGCGACTGTAGCCTAGGTAGGGTGGAGACAATGGATCACATAGTGCTAGCTTGCCCCAACTGGAAGATGGAGAGGCAGAAGTATATTATACCTATCTTGATAAAAGAAAATCTCCCCTCCCTTCCCTGGTCAATTTCTGTTCTTTTATCTGACAGAGCTGATTCAGTCACCAAAGCAGAGGCCATGTTTTTGGCCCTGGTGGCAAAAAAAAAAAGGAACAAGGTGGGGAAACTTCAAACTGTTCTGATTTGATGTAGCGGGTACCAGTTGGAAGAATTATCTCATGTGGTTTGACGATTTTAGCCAGTGTAACACACTTATATTGGGATAACGTACCCTATTGTCCATGTATGAGCTTTGTAAATAGTGTTGATGTTTTACTTGTTGTTTTTATTGCATAAATGTGTGTACGTGTGCTTAAGACTACTGGTCATGCAAGCCGAAATATATATATAATAAAAAGAACACATGAGAGGGACCCACAAAGACCTGTAGAGGGGGAAAACCCATTTCCTTCTGCAGGGCCCAGCCCCTGTGCTGTGTCTACTTTCCCCCACTCTGATCAGCTTTATCTTTTCCCACTCTTGGCCCTGCTCCTCCTGCTCCCAGTTCCCATCCCGCTTCCATTACTGTCCTCTGCTTCTGCCCCATTCACCTTCAGTTCCTCTTGTATCCCTCTCTCACTACAACCCAGCTGAGTCCAAGTTAGGGCTGCCAAGTGGGGGCGGGGGGTGGGTAAACCCCGCTTTGGAGGCCCGATTTCCACCACCACAGAATTGGGCACCAGGGGGAACTCCGCCCCCCGAAGCGCAGCATGGCTGCGTCACCAGAGGTGACGCGACCACATCGCTCATGTTGGGGGTGTGGCCCCGATCGTCCGGGGGAAAACTCTTTGGTTTTCCCTCCGACGATCGAGGCCACGCCCTCAACATGAGCGACGTAGCGCGTCACTTCCTGTGACGTGCTGGCGGCGCGCGCACATCAGCGGAGAGCTCCTGGAGCCCGGCGAGGCTCCCCCGGCGCCAAGGTAAATAGACTTGGCAACCCTAGTCCAAGTGCTCCCCCCCCCCTTTAAACAGTTCTACTCTGCTTTCTTTCTTTCATGGCTACCACTTTCATTACTCTCCTGGCTCTCCCAAAATGCACTATCTTTTTGGACTGAAATATTGGAGGAGAGGGAGTCCATGATATCTGGAGGAGGAGGAGTTCCTCTTTTTAAACACCCCCCTCCCATATGTTTTATTAAATCTTGTTTATTATTTTGCAAACAGGACTATACATGGCTATTAGTTATACAGATATTTAAAACAATGTGGAGTCTATTAACCAGTGGAATGAAAAAGAATGAAAGCTAGTTTACTAATAATGGTGAAAACTTACTGAAACAGTTGAACTAGGTGTGTTTGTTCCATATCCAGATGAAGGGAGGGAAGCCAGGGACCAACGGCGTCCATCTGTCCTAGAGAAAGAAGTGAACAATACTGCTTAGGTTCTACTTTGGAGCAATGTTATGCAGTAATTTATGGATGTTAGTGTGCTTATTTCAGACATTCCCTTCCAATCTATCCCAAATGGTTTTTGACTGGCTATAACTCAGTGGCAGGGATTCTGTACTTAAGGATCTGGCCTGCAAGCCTCAACACACTTTAAAGTAAATATGAAACATTATTTGTAGCTTCTCTATTCTATATGCATTTAATTTACTTGGATGAATTTTTGGACAAATTTTAGGGTTGCGAATCCGAATATGGAGCACATCATGACTTGCCTGCCTTGTGCAAAGGTTACAGACATTACATGTGGTCTAGATAGGCTGGTAGAAAGTACTGGGAAGGAGTCAGTGGTCATGTTGGTACCAATGATCTGGGGAAATGTAGTCATGTGGTCCTGAAGGAAATATTTAGACTGCTATGCAGGAGACTCAAGCCAAGGACCTCTCAGAAGTGCTGCCTGTTTCACACATAGGAGCAGCTAGACAGGCACAAATTAGGAGTCTCAATGTGTGGATGAGGTGATGGTGCAAGGAGGAAGGGTTTAAGTTTGTTAGACACCGGGATGCTTTTTGGAACAAGCAGGACCTGTACAAAAGTGATAGACTCCACTTGTCTCAAGGAGGAATCAAGCTACTGGCACTTAAAATCAAAAATGTGGCAGAGCAGTTTTTTTAAACTAAATCTTGGGGGAAAGCTGACAGGAATGGAATGGCTTTGGTTCAGGATGGCTCATCTCTAAGAGATGAAGGGGTAGCTGTTACTATTAGAGGGAAATGGATTAGGAATGGCCATTGAGAGGGTGACAAACAATACTGACTGCCAGACAAGGTCTAGAGGACACAGGAGGAAGGTTGCAGGCCTAATGTGTCTGGGAAAATATAGATGTTTATATACAAATGCTAGAAGGGTTCAAGGTAAAATGGGGAAGCTGGAATGCTTAAAAGAACACAGGCAACGCAGGCATTTCAGAAACTTGGTAACATGAGGATAAATCAGTGGGATACAGTGATTCCTGAATATAAATTATATTGGAAGGATAGGGAGGGAAGGGTCGGAGGTGGAGTGGTTCTGTACGTCAGTCCACTAAAATTGAGAATCTAAGGGAAA